GCATTCCTAGGATCATCTTGTTTGGAGGGTTATCCTGGTTAGCATAACTAGATGAGATGCTGAGTCCAAGCAAGAGTTTGCAGTCGGGCCCCTGCTGTTGTTCTCTCCTGTTTAAAACCTTCCCAGCTCACAGCAGCAGTCTGGAGTGCAGAGGTTTAGCAGTCCATATGTGTATGCCTCTAAAACACTTTGCTTATATATTAACAAGCTTCCTGCAGAGAAAGATGCCCCCCAAAGCTGCCACAACAACAGAGACAGAGCAAAGAAGCCTTAGAGTTCCACGTAAACCTAGCGAGGACCACCATCAGGTCTGTGGGACCGATGAGAAGGTGAGGGGCAAGTGTTGGCAGGTGGCACATGGTAACAGAACCGAAGGCTCACACATAAATGTGAGATCTCTTTAAATTTCTCATCAAAGGCGACGTGGGCCAGAGCGGGTGTGCTGCCTCGTCTGGCTGGTGTAAATTACAGACAGAACATTGTCAAGCTGGGCATCCGACGCCTCGAACAATGTGCAAGCCACAGATGGAGGGGCAGGGCCTGGGATTCAGCCCCAAGCATGTCTGGCTGGAGGCTCTGTGAACTTCCAGTGACCACCAAGGGATAGAAACTTACCTACACAGATCCAGAGTCCACTTAAGAAAAATCTGGGTCTTCGAGCCCACTTTAGGAGCCTGAGAAACCTGTTATTTCCACATTTTAAAGGCTTTTATCCTCAGCATTTTTGAAAACATCAAGTTATCACTGTCTTGTTAGTCAGGTATAATAAATGCGAGCAGATAAAATTACAGGGCGTTTCCTCCACTTTCAACTACTGCAAAGAGTACTTACATCCTTTAAATGTCTCAGTTACTGAAAATTGGAATGAACCCAGGAAAATTAAAAAATAAAAACCTTCTGAGATTTTGTAATGTATAAGGTAAGTTAGAAACAGGAAGAACACCTTTCGTTCCCGAGTTAGGCACTGATAAAACCTATACTCCGACAGGAGTTTTGGCGTGGTGCTCAACGGCTTTCCTGAGAACCCGGTAGCTCTTCGAACTGTGGGGCGGCTTTCCTGAGAACCCGGTAGCTCTTTGAACTGTGGGATATGAGGGCCCCAGCACAGAGCTTAGCCAGCCTGTACCTACCTAAACACCAAACCTTATAGTTTGTGGTTTTCTAGCATGGTATGTCTTTTAGAAAGAGATAAAGAAGAGATTGTATAGTTGACCTTTCATGAACAACACAAGTTTGAATTGCATGTAGAACTACTTACGTGTGGATTTAAAAAAAAAATAATAAATCCTATAATGTATTTTCTCTTTCTTGTGATTTTCTTAATTCTTTTTCTTTCCTCTAGCTTACTTTATTGTAAGAATACATATTAAAATACAAAATATGTGTTCATCGACTGTGTTAGCGGCAAGACATCTGGTCAACATTGGGTGATGAGTTGTTTAAGTTTTGGAGGAGTCAAAAGTTAGCAAATTTGGACTGTGTGGAAGGTTGGTGCCCCTGACTCCTGTAATGTTCAAGGGTCAACTGTATTTCATTTTTCTAAAAGTTCATTTGAACCTTCTTTACAGAATTTTAAAAATTAACTATGTAATGTCCTTTAGGAAAGAGGATTTCCTAACGCTAGTTTATCGTTACATGGTTTAGAAGACGCCTGCCTCTGAGTTGCGGCGGGGGCACCACCACCA